TGTTGCAGGGATATGATTATGCAACTAGATCGCATGGGCTCTTCGGAAGCTCAGCTAGGTGGTAAGTATGGGCTTAACTCCAAACGGACTGACAACGGCGAGCGTCTGTTCAACTGTGCGCGGAGCTTAAGCTATTTCTTAGCATCTCGGCTTATAGACACAATGCGCGCTTAAGTACCACTTGGTGTCCCTTATAGCTGGCCAGCTATGGACCCAAATAGATCACATTGCCATAAGTTACAGATGGCGTGGTTCCATCCTGGATTGCCGCTCGTTCTGGAATACTTGCTTCGACTCTGATCATGACTTGGTATGCTATCGTTTCTCCATGAACATTACCGCGAGGCGCACCAAGCGTCTCCTCCAATTGTCAACTGAGAAATTGTCTCATCCCTCGGTCAGGCAAGTCTACCAGGATGCCCTGCGTACCGAACTTTCGCTCTCTTGTCCTAATGACACTGAGCTTCAGTGGAATAGGATCTCGGCCGCCATGCACGATACAGAAGCCCCTGCTTATGGTACTATCAGTTGTCATCGCACCAGTCATTAGATCTCCAAGGGGTCGGTGAACTTGTTGGAATAAAGAAGAGAACTTCCGGCTGGCTCTGAGCACAATGTAAATAAGTGGACTCTTAGACACGAACTAAAGCGTAGCCTGTGTGCTGACAAGGAAGCCTGGTGGACCAGTCGGGATCAAGCAATGGAGGAGGCGGGAACTGTTGGGAACTATCGCAAACTCTTCCACTTGATTCGCATCACTGGTCCCAGAAAACCAGGCGTCAGTGAGACACTCAGAGACAGCGCGGGTGCACTGATACACAATAAGGTGCGCCGTATGGCTCGTTGGACGGAGCACTTTCAAGATCAGTTCAGTTGGCCCCCTGATTCTGGACCTCTTCCCACTCAGGTGATGCAGGACGAGCCATGGACGATTAGTTTAGAGCCTCCGTCGGAGGCCGAGGTTCAAAACACGATCACAGCCCTTAATCGTTTTCGTGCTGCTGGCCTGGCTTCCGTCTCACATGCACTATTTAAGGATGGAGGTGAGGTCCTCTGCAAAGCACTGACCTCCCTATTCGAAGATATCTGGAAGGGTGTCCCGACTAATTGGAGCGAATCGATTATAGTGGCAATATACAAGAAGGGCAGTCGCACAGACTGTTCTAACCACAAGTGTATTAGCCTAACAAAATTACTGACCTCGATTATCGTTCGTCGCCTCACTGCGGAACGGATTAGTGAAGAATAGGCAGGTTTCCGCTCAGGACGTGGCTGTATAGACCATATACTCACTTTGCGGCAGGTGCTAGAGCAGCACTACGCATGCCGCAGATCGACAATAGCAGTGCTCCTCGATTTCAAGATTGCGTTAGAAATACTGAAAGGTGTTCCCATGAAATATGCGAACCTTTTACGTGTCCTGTACTTGAACATCGCAAGCCGCTTTTATATCTACGTTAATCTGTTACATATCTTTCCAACAAACATTGGCGTTCGTCAGGGTTGCCCAATTCCCCCATTTTGGTTCAACTTCATCATGGAGTGTTTCGGCGCAGGCATTGAGGTGCTGCTTGGTAGACAAATACTTGTTCTAGTTCATACCGGTGATGTTAGCCTTGCTGTTTGACGATGTTTGGGGGCCGTGCCAGTGCTAAGTAAGGTTTCTTAAGCGGTCCCAATATGTGGTGACACACTCTTCAACTACAGAATGCACAATCTTATTACGGGTCCACCGACCACTTACCTACTCCTTGACTCTTGACGATGAGGAAATTGAAGTACTTGGCTAATTGTGGATGTTTGTGAGTGGTGTAAAGTTCGTAGAAAGCAGAAGTCACGATTAAAATTCACACACAATAATGTGCCTCGACGGGGAATCGAACCCCGGCCCAACGAATTTCCGGTCCGCTGCTCTACCACTGAGCTACCGACGGCTGATGATTAGGTGCGCAATTTTTAATACATGACTTCTGCTTGGTGCGCGACGTGTTGCCAATGAGCTCAAGTATCTGTCCTGGTGTTGCAGGTTGGCTCACTCACCCGTCACTTCCCAATGGACCGAAGTATCTGTCCTTCAGATGTCCAAAGGGCGATGGTAGAGTAATTGTGGATGTTTGTGAGTAGTGTAAAGTTCGTAGAAAGTAGAAGTCACGGTTAAAATTCACACACAATAATGTGCCTCGACGGGGAATCGAACTTGGCTAATTCACCGATCTTGTCAGTTGCACTGGCTATGATGGATGTGTGTGGCTGTTGAGGTTAGTTCACGTATTGCGAAAACCAGGAGCGCTTTCTTAACTATTTGAGTCCTGAATTAATTTACCACTAGCTCGACATGAACCTCAAAAGTTTACTCCACACACTGTATAGCAACGTATCGGAGTTCCGGCAGAAAGCTATTGTACGTATCCTCGCGAGTACCGGCAGGAATGACACTTGCATTGAAGCCGTATTACAATTTAAACAAAGCGGTACTTATAAATACCGTCAGGACACAGCTGTGGCGTCCGAAACGGGTTACCCTCGGTCTAAAAGGTGGTGTGTACTGGCCATGGTGAGGGCCGTCCTGAGGCGCTTACGCGCCTTCTGATTGTTGATCAACACCTTGCCCGTAAAGCATTGCTGGTGTCGGTTGGCACCATCGTGTCTCCACCGATGGTGTGCGCACGCAAGTACTGGGCGGAGATAGCGAAATTAGTTCTTCAGAACAAAAATTATCCTCGAATCGGTTGCGTTGGTTTGGGCACCTACTACACATACTCGGTCACTAGCTGTTTGTGTTACCATTAGTCGTCACCACACCAGTCACTGGATATCCTTTAGGTAGTTGAACCTGTTGGAATCCAGAAGTAACCTCCCGGCTGGCTCTGAGCACAATGTGACTAGACGGACTGTTAGGCGCGAACTAAAGCGGAGCCTGCGCGCTGACAAGGAAGCCCAGTGGACCAGGGCGGTGGTTGAAAGGATTGCACGTCTGGCTTGCAATCCTTTGGTCGCCGGTTCGAATACGCGTATGAACGGGCGTCCTCGCGGTATACTCCGCCCACGCGAAACTGGTCGCATGGCAGCGAAGCGTTGATGCAGTGTGCCAGCGTACTGCTGAAGACTTTCCGCCAGGTGAACCTTGTTCTGCTTGCCGGATTTTGGATGGCGCAAGGCTCGAGGTGGACAGAAGTTAACTTGGCAGCGGGAAATGAAGTCACTGACGACCAAACTGGGTGCCGTTGGTCCGTCTCGCCTTCGAAGCGGTAGTCCACGTGACTCGCCTTGTGCTTCGCTCGAGACGTTACAAGACATGACTCGCAGTGGACACCAGTGGCGCGTCTGTTGTCTAGTCGGACTGCCTGTTTAAAGTGTGTTTGGTGCTGAGTTATCTGCGGGGTAATGGCTGTTTATGTCGCGGGGCAGTGAAAGCCGCAAGGAAGCTGTCTCGCTGATGCCGCCTTATCTTTGCACAATAGCCATCTGTTTGTGACGGTATGTTGTTAATACAAGATGTAGGTGCCTTGACCCTGGATGTTTGTTGAGGGCATTCAAGCTCTATACTATGAATTCATTCTTCCCGTCTTATTATCCTTCATCCCATAGGCCATTATTGTTGTGCGTTGGTGAAGCATCAATTCAAACGGCTGATGTACTGCTGTAGTTGCTGTTCTGTTTCGAGTGTGAGGCCCAAAAACTTTACACATGTACTTGCTGCCTGCTTAGTGTATATGGTGCCTGGTTTTCTGTGACACTGACATTCGCAAGAATTATGTCTCACCGATACCAGGTTGTCGTCGCATCGTTTCCAGTTCTTAGCGATTGCACGGTATTCACGTTGCTTAAATACTTTTAGTTTGAATGTGTGGACCCCTGATAGACCTTAGTTTTACTTCTTTCTCAAATCATAGCAGTGAATCGATGTACGAAATGCTGATGTATTTGTACAGTCGACAAATTCGCTCACTGTGAATACCACACGTCAAGTAACTTCGACCGCTCGTTCCACACCTTCCGGCAGATTTCCGTAGTGTCAGTGAGCGCCTCCACTGTCAACTAGCCGATATCCAGGCACCGTAAGCACAAAAGCTGCTCTTGCTAATGTTCCACTCGTTGGCCCAATGGCAGCTTCTCATAATATAATGAACTTGCCGTACCTAAGCTGCAGCGATAGCTTTGAGAATCCACCTAGTTAGTGGGCTGCAGTTCGCTTCCCTTTGCGCACCTTCGTTTCCTTTGCAACTGGGTCACGAAGCCATTGGTGTTCCGGAATTCATTTTCTCATTTCTGACTTACCTATTTCATCTAAGAATTCCTACTAACTACTGGTGCAATGTGCGTCAAAGTAACTAGGTCCACGGCGCCTCGGTGCACAGACTATGGTGGCATCAGCAGTACGCTGGCACGTTGTACCGACGCTTTGCCGCCACGCGACCACCAACACTCGCTCGTGTGGGCTGGATATACTGCGAGGCCACCCGCATCTGCGCAGATTCGAACCAGGTACTTTTGGATTACAGGGTAGATGCCTTATCCATCCGGTCACTGGACGAGCACAAACGATGGTTGACACACGGAACCTTTGTTTTCACTTTTGCGCTCCGTACAGTTCCGGTTGGGAGCATCCACTGCTGGCGGTGTACACGTCACATCGTTAAGGCACCTCGTACGGCATTGCGTTCGGTCTTGCAACTTGTCAACACCGATCGTAAGATTGGCCACCTCGCCTGATAGTCCTTGACCTGTGAGAAGTTCGGATCAAGCTGACTCTGTCCGATCCATGCTTCCGAGCACACATTGAGTCTAGACTGTACCGACGGAGACGATATACAGGCCTTTCACAGATTCGGCTGCTGTGCCAAGTGAACGCGCCTTGTCGTGCATAATGGTGAAATTCGCCCATATGATATTTGAGCTTTCTTCTCATTATGTTCACTCTCCTAGGTGACTTTTCGGGAAATCATGTTGCCATTCTCGTTCCCATGATCACCTACCAACCTCTGGTTTCTTTTTTTCAGACCATTCACTCCGCGACCATCAGAATTACTCAGCCGATACATGGACTCGTTACTACGAAAATATTCGAAACTTCTATCCGAATCCGATTTGGAGTCGAAAATTGCCTCTTCTATTGACATTTTCAAGTACATCGAGGACAAAGATGTGTTTCAAAAGGCAAGTCTTTGACTCGTCTCAAAAATGTGGTAAAGCAGGCACAAAATGAAACCACCCAAGGTGTCATCGGAGCTCTTTGTTGAAACAAATAAATGAATGATATTTTTAGGGATTCGCCACATCTAGACTCAGTCAGATAGCCATATCATTGCTGGAAAGCACCTGTCTCATCCTTTCGGGAAGCGTCAGCTGTGCGCGTTCCATGTCGAAAGGATAGAACGGCTGTACAGTGCACTTCCGGAGGTGTGATGTCTGTCTGACTGAGTCCAAGTGTGATCAGTCTCTAATTATACCATTCAACTCCCCTTTGAAATGGTATATTTCTCGACGTTGCGACACACAGACCAACTATGTGGCCTGATCATCCTGTACATAGTCGGATAGTGGAGAAACTTTTTCGAGTTTTTTCTCTATTAGTTCCCAAAAAAGCTTCGGGGTGTTTCATCGGGGAAAAGTCATAAAAAGACAGAGAAGTTGAGAGCAGGCATACATTTAGATATAGCCGGCAGTTCAAATAAACTAATACGGGTCTCAGTGAAACCGTCTCCTGAGGACCCGCTTTCATGCGGACCAGTCGGTCCCAGGGGTTTCATCCGCAGTTTCACGCCCCATGTGTGACTATGTACTAATGTGGCTTAAAGACCAAACGAGCCGTCATTTCATTTTATGGCCGCTGTTATACGCTAAGCACACCCGCCATGTAGTCCACTCCGCTATTTCGAGTCATACACTTTTTGCGTTCGCCAGTGCCTGTGATTCGACTCTATCAGGTTTTCTTCCACGTTTTTTATTCTGAATCGTATATCCAATTCACGTACCATTTCATCAACAGGGGGGTTCTCATATCTTGCTACACTTGATTCGAAAACTAGACTTTTCATACCAAAACAACTTCCTCTGTGGAGTGCTAGTCAATATACTTCAAAGTATCATTTCAGTTAATTGCAAACCCTCAGCGCTCGCAGGACAGTTGGCCCTGTGCCTCTTTCCTTATCCTTTAACGCTAGCCAGCTCGTGTTTCCCTGTGGGGCACTAAATCCTAGATGACGATAAACCGGAGACTGTCATCAATTCACAAACGTATGGACTGATGAGGATGTTCTCAGCTCTTGGTGTGAGTCTATCGTTGTCTCGATTTACAAGAAAACCCTCTGCGGCAAATACACAAACTATCAACGAACCTCACTTATTTCTGTCGCGTTCAATGTTTTTCTGTCTATCCTGCCTCGTGGACTTTTAGCTACTCGAAAGGGTTTGTCCCACGAGGATCAAGATGGGCTTCGCGCAGGTCAATGTTGCATGGACCATTGTCACATCCACCAAAGACCAACAATCAGTGTTTTCGGGTGTTTAAGACACTTCCGACTCCGTAGAGACATCCCCACTATGGAACTGTCTGCCGCTTATGGCGGATTTTCTTCGTTACCTCTATTTCACCATTCCTATTTAACTTTACCACCGGAGATATTCTCCATCGAGCAGTAGAAGGAACTTAGACCATCGGTGTTGAGCTACTTCCTGTGGGAGAGAGCCCTTGACCTGGATTGTGCCAATGACCACTTTGTTGGGGAACCTTGGCACCGGTGGAACAGATGACGAGGTCGCAGACCGTATATCAACAGTCCAAGATGGCCCCGGTGCATCACTCTCGCTCTAAAATGCGGTGTTTACAATGCATCCATGTGTTGAACCTTGCTGTAAGGCTGCGAAACTTGGCCTGCCAGACCGATAGACCTAAAGAGCTTCGTTATCTTCGTAGTCCGTGTCTGGTGGGAACACTGCGTAAGCAATGAATGTGTTCGACGTCGAGTATTTGGTGCAAGAAGAGCGAGTGAATTGCTCGACACTGTTGTATCACGCATCACGGTCCGATGGTTCGGCCACGTGTTGCGCATGCCAGCAAACCGACTCCTGAGACGTGCGCTGTTTGCCCGACCGGGCTCTGGATGGAGGAAGAGGAGGGGGCGCCAAGCGATGAGTTAGTCCAGGGGGAATGAATTCCCTCATTTCGAAGTGGTCGTGGTTGGTGTCTTCCGTCTGCCAGGCTGGGGTCCGAAGGAAGATGAACACAGTTGGTTGGATACACTTGTTAACATGGTGAAGAGCCAGCTTCATTGGCGGTTGTGTTGTGAATTTCTTTGCTCTTCACCCTCATGCTTAACTTCTCCCTCCGACGGTGACCTCACACTGCATGGATAATATTACACTTAGCATTATACTACTTGATTTTTTAGTTTTTGTATTTTGTAATTTTTAGTATTTTTTTCCTCATATATTTTATCTTTTGTGTTGTGGCACAGTTAGCCCAAGTGTGTTTCTCACCAGCTAGTGTGTATTGATGATGATGATGATGGAGCGCCGCAGAAATTTCTTTTCCATCCGTGTCTGTCACCCGTGGAATGCTCTCCCAGAATCGGCCGTCTCTGCACCGACACTAACAGTACTTAAAAGACGGTTGGACGATGCACTCATCCACTTACACTTTGTTACTTAACACTATGTCTCCATCCTACACCTGGAGTTTACCCTGGAATTATTTGTTATTAACTGTGGGTGTTGTGAATCTAAGTGGATCGCAGGACTGCAGCGAAGCAAGCGATAAGTCCTTATTTTCGTACTTAAAGTGTTAACTATTTTACTATCCTTTTCATCATAATTATTATGTTGATATCCCCACCAACTATCCAACGGGGCTTGTAAAGCAACGCTTCTTAACCCGTATAAATTCATTGTTCATTGTTGTTCATTATTCACAAGCCGTCCAAAACATTTTGAACCGCTTAGCGATAGAGGCACCTAAATGTAGTCTGTATTTTGCACCATTCAAGTGTGAAACTTTGTTTCAAGATTGGTAAGTACTTGCGCGCTCACATTGCAGGGAACGCCCTGCTCCAAGTTAATAGCTTATGTCGGGAGCCGTATCATGACTGGTGGTGGTGGAAATTTCACAACAAATTGCTAAAACTCTGCAATGAATCGGAATACCTGTAGCTCGGGTTGGTAGTTAACGTTTTGATTCGTTCTCCGAGCTATGTATCCTAATGACAAACGTTTCACCACTTGCCTCAGTGGCATCTTCAATGCACTGCCGCGTAGAGTAAAATCTCAAGGAAAGTGTCGTCGGGACGTAGCATTGGGGGCACTTGTGGTATCATCGAGATGCCTGTCTCAAGCACAGAGCTAGAGGGTACAACGTCACCGTTCGTGCGGGGGATCCTGTTGTGAGACAACTGCCATCTTTCGACAACTACTTCTTGCGAACGATTGCCCGTGTTTGTGTGTGTGATGGCGGCACGATGTGCACAATACAAAAGTCAGCTGTCAAATGATCGGATCAAACAGTCCCTGCCTCTAGGGCATTATATTCTCCGATAGTGTTTGCGTCGGATCGGTCACGTGCGCATGCGAGCACATCGTCTTCCTCGTTGGTCGCGCAAAATTTGCACTTTCTAAATGCGAATAAAAGAGCTGCTGCGGCGGACAATCGATGACTTGGAGGAGGATCACAAAGAATAGATATTATGAGTTTCTCCTTCACAACAATGCACTCCATGACTGGTTTCGCTCACGTTTGAACTTATCGGGTAGGGACAGCAAGAGTGAGATCCGATCCCCCGGGCCTTTGGAGTGTCGGCCGACACAGCTACCCCACCGCAAGCCACCGCGTTGCGTCAGCTGGACCACTGGTTAGAAATCCTGTGAACTATGGATCGCGATAGAAACCAGTAGCATCAAGGTTGCCATACCTTCTCTTTTAATGTCCCAAAAAAACAAAAGAACTCAAAACGGCATTTGCGAAACACCAAAAGATGAACTGGATTTTTTTGGTGCCGTTTTCTTCTCTTTATTGATCGAAATTCCCCCCATTCATTACGTTCGTGGTCCTGATGGCAAATTTATCCGTTTTCATACTTGTGAGTAGATGCACATAATATGGTATCAATTCACTATCTTCGCAGCTGCATCAACAACAATGGGCGCATGATTGCTGAAGTTATTTCTCGTACTGTGAAAGCTAGAACCGCCTCCGTGAACCTGCGACATCAGAAGAAGATTCCCCTCGATCCGAAGGGCCGTGTTTACAAGGTATCGCTGAAATCTGTTAAAACCGAACCGCTTACGGTGGCTAGGTCATGTTCTCCGTAAGCCCGTTGACCGCCTTCCTCGACAAAGTAGCCAGTCGAACACATAAAAAGGTCTACTGCGAAACCTGGTCAAGCCGGTGCGTGCCACTTTAATCGATGGGCGGCTCGGAGATGCCGCAACCGCGGACATAGGGGCGCCCCTGCATTTGATTTCTTGTGCCATATCTGTCAATATTTTATATCCGGACTAGTTTTTCTCATTTCCAACTTCCTTTCGTGTGCATTCTGTTTGTGTGTTCTGCTTCGGTTTGTAACACCATTTTTATTTATTGTCAAACTGTTGACACGAATTCGGACAAATGTATCCAACGCACTCCGATGTCCAGACCATAGTTGTTCAACGGTGACCTGGCTGGAATGAAACGATGCACATACAATGCCAAAAGAAGACATCATATGCCCGGAACTAATGACACCAATACAAATTCCTAACCGAACAAGGATAAACGATTAACGGACCAGACACATCTGCTGATGATTCACAACTAAATGTTTTTTTGTTTTTCGTAATTCGATAGAGTTGCACAGAAACTTTTGTACTTACTATTAAATACAGTCTCAGTCTCATCAGTGCAGGTATATCAGCAGTTTCGCTTTTGATCAGATTGCCAAGTTCGACGAGCAGCCCAACAACGGGTGCGCACCGCCTTCCTTAATGGGATCGAACACGCGAGTGCATATCTGACATACTGCAGCATTTAACTGCTAACCTTTCTGTCCAGGTAACACAAGATTTTCCAATCGTAATCTCGTTTTTGATATGCTTTTAACTCGTATTATCTTAGCGGACCTAACCGAGGCCTAGTTAAGCTTACTCTGTTCCGTCTGAATTCACGCAAGTCTTCACAAGTCATCGAATTGTCGCTTGTATAACTCCCTGACTACTCACCGTGGCAATCCGTTTGCTCTCTGCTCCCTTCCCCCAGTACTACCAACGCATGCTTTGCAAGCGGCTTATCTCCAATGTGCAGCCTGTGATGGAACTGGAAGAACTCGCAATAAACCAACTGAAGGCGGTATGTGGCTACGAGTTCACCGCGAAATTCCAGCGTATGTTCAACGATGTCCAACTGGCCCCGGAACTGAACGCTAAATTCACACAATATTTGGAAGCGAACAATATTCATCTCAGAATCGATCATCATTTCAACGTACTCACAGTGAGTTGTGTCGGAGTGAGGCATTTCTTCTCGAGTCGCTGTCGAAGTACTTAACTCCTATGCTTCATGATACACTTGGTTTTTAATTCACATGCCGTGTAATCATTTTAGGACACCTTTTCTGATTTGCTTGTCACTTTGACTGCGAACCGCCACAGGACACCTGTGCCCGCGAAGGGACTGTAGGTGGCTTGCGCCGCGCAACCCATAACCATTCACACACACCCCACATCTAGCACCAAGCGAGAAGGAATACGTCAAGAGACGTGCATCGAGAGCCACGATTCACCAACGGACCCGACCCACACTCCTTCACCACGCAATCGTCCATATGAAATTGGGGAAACATGCATATCAGAGGTGGCTGGGCCGTAGCCCGTCCCACATTGGGTTCAACCACTCTTTGAGCGGAACACCGTCACGAAAACTGTGCACCCAATCCCTGGAGCCAGTAGTCGAGGTTTTGGTATTTGGTTGGCGACGTCCGGTTTCGGATTTGCCTGTCACTGTGGCCAGCCACAGGACGTCTGCGCCTACAGAGGGAACATGGGTAGCTTGCGCTGCGCCACCCACAGCTCCAAACACACACCCCATATCCAGTGTAAACCCGAAGGAATAAGACCGGGAGGCATGTGGATGGGTATATATATATATATATATATATATATATATATATATATATATATATATATATATATATACATCGATATTGCGGCGCTCAGTGAAACCCGGCTTGCTGAGCAAGGTAAATTGCATGAAACAGGTACTGGCTACAAATTCTATTGGCTGGGCAACGCCGCCTCAGCACCACGTGATCATGGGGTCGGATTTGCAATATCCGATCGCCTCCATGGCCTGCTGGTGGGTGAACCAACGGGCATCAGCGCGCGACTGATGACTGTTCGCCTACGACTCGGAAGAGGTAAGTTCGCTACTTTTATAAGCTCGTACAGTCCGACCATGTGTTGTCCTGATAACACGCGTGATCAATTCTACACTCAGCTATCATCCGTGGTACGGTCTGTGCCGAGAAGCGACCGACTATTTCTGTTGGGTGATTTCAACGCGCGCGTTAGGCGTGATGCATCAGTGTGGGCAGATGTTATCGGTTCGCATGGCATTGGTTCAGCGAATGCGAACGGTGACAGGCTGCTCTCACTGTGTGCCACTCACAGCCTGACGGTCACGAACAATCGGTTTGCACTGAGTGTGAGTGATATAGCAACTTGGACGCACCCACGGAGTGGTCACGCCCACCTGCTCGTACGTCAGCGTGATATGCGTGAAGTGCGCATGACACGTGTACTGCGTGGAGCTGAGTGTGGCACTGATCACAAATTGGTTCGGACCAAACTGTACATATATTTTCGTAAATCGATGTATTGCACTCCCGCCGTGCATCGGCGTAAATTTATCATTCCCTCGGTACTGTGGAAAAACGTATTGAAGGTGGCTTGTGCTTTTGACAAGTTGGAATGCCCTGCCTGGAAAAACCACCAGCTCACTGTTGAGACGAAACTGCTGCTATATAAGTCTATGGTGCTGTCTGTTCTTCGATACGGTAGCGAAACCTGGACGCTTTATCGGATGTCAGATATATGGAGCGCTTCCATCAGCAGTGTCTGCGCCGTATTATGCGTATCGGCTGGAGTGACCGAGTTGAAGACACGGAGGTGCTCCGACGCAGTGGCATGTTTGCAATGAACTGCATAATTCTGCTAAGTCACTTGAGATGGCTCGGCCATATTCGTCGTGTGGATTCGACCCGGATACCGAAACAGCTGCTTTATGGCCAACTGAGTGCAGGGAAACAGCACGTGGGAGAACCGAAGTTACGTTATCAAGACATGATCAAGGTGAGTCTATCATATCCTAATGTTGATTGCAGGTCATGGGAATCGAAGGCGGTTGCTCGGCGTGCATGGCGCGATCTAATCACAAAGGCTGTTGCCGAGGTGCAAGAGAAAGTCCTCGTGCATGCAGAGAAGCGACAAGTGCGGAAGCGACAGGCGCCGATGGGCTGTACTCCATCGACGTCGAGTGCATGGTGCTGTAGCACATGCGGTCACGAATTCTTGAGTCAGGCAGGTTTAGTGAGTCACGAGCGAGGCCACTCGGGTCCAGCATCGAAACGACGACAAGTTCTTCTGAGAATGTAGGCAGAACCGGCGCGGCGTTGGTAAGTACGTTGCATTCGATTTACTAACCGCGTGCTTGCGTGCTGAGTTTATTTCAGGTGGTGGGTTTACTACCTAGCCTTAGTGTTATTTTCTTATCTCATTTTAAGGTGTACCTGAATAATCCATTAAATTACACATTTCGCTTAAACTAAAGGTGATAAATTTCGCTCTTTTCTCTCCTTCTTAAATACGTGTCTTGATCCCTCTTTCTGCCATCCTGAATCTATTCAATATAGTTCATTAGTGTATGATGGGATAAAAAGCATTGGCTTTACGGGACCCATAGGATGGTAAATGCAAAATAGATAAAAATCATTAGATTCCGACATGGAACTGAAAAGCCAATAGTCTAAACCTAGTACATCACACCACAATGTGTTGTTTGTCACTCAGTTGAATGTCTAACAATTGTTTGAAGGCTGTAATGTTCGGAGCGTTTACCACATGCGTTGGCAAGTCATTCCATTGTGAACAGATTCTAAGAGAGTAAAAATATTTTCTACAGTCTAATCGGGAGTGTTGGATTATCAGCTTGAGGTTATGACACATTTCATGTGATTGGCTGTTGCTTGATATATCCGGTGTGGTTGTGCTTGATGTTCATGTTGACAAGGTCCCAACCAGTCTGTTACTCACTACCTCATCCATACCGGCTCTAGGAGACAGTTGGTCGTTGTTGGAAGGGACGGGGTGCACGGCCCTTGTGGTCGTGCTAGTCTCGAAGAGTGGTTCCATGCACTCAGTGTAGAGCGGACTACGATCCAGCCACCGCCTTGTGTGCGCTTGATTCCCCAAATACAGTGTGCTTGTGTTTGCCTGTGAAGAAGTGTGGGCCGGCTCCGTTGATGAAACGTGGTTCCCATCCGCATACCTCCCGGTCTTATTCCTTCGGGTTTACACCGGATATGGGGTGTGTGGATGGTGCAGCGCAAGCCACCCATGTAGGCGCAGGCGTCCTGTGGCTGACCACAGTGACAGGCAAATCCGAAACCGGATGCTGCCAACCAGATACCGTGGAAGTAATGACGGAGTTTGTGGTATTCGACATGCTGGTACCTTATCAATATTCCCAACCAGACTTGGGATACCAACCGGTGAACGCTGTCGTTGGCATAGAGTAGGAACCTCGAAGGATCCAGCTATGACGATAACCAACATGGTGGCGTTATTCAAGACAACTGGTTTTTTGATGCCTCAGTTATTCAGCTAAAATGCATTAAACTGTCACGATTTTATCTGAAGTATTAATTGACCGAATTATTTGATTTTGATGTGCTATTACTATAAATCTACACACTAAAACACGCTCCCCTCCTTTGTGGCAGCAATGCTCCTGGCCTATTACTCCAGTCGGCACCGCTGAGTTCAGGCTCCCTGATGAACTACAACTATGTAATACGCACTTCGAGGCCTTCTATTGCCAAGCACATCAAGGTCGGAAAATGCGTTGGGCCCATCACTATTCTATCGCTGAAGTCGCTATGCTGTTCACCGAGAAGCCCTACCAGCTGCAAGTTCCGGCAATCTGCGCCTCGATTCTACTTTACTTTGATTCGGTCGATTCAGATGTGATCCAACTACGAGACTTACGCTCCAATGTGTTGCCCTCCCAGGCGGAGCCACAGGCGTCCGGCTCCGATGGAGGAAGACACATGCCCGCCGATCCCACCGCCATCATCACCACCACGGGAGACACAATGGACACATCATTCGGCTGCGTCAACTCATTCGATCAACTCGATCGAATCCTCGCTCCGTTGCTTGATTTGCGCGTGGTGCTTTTGGATCCAGAGATTAGGAGTCATGCGGATATCAAGCAACTTCCGGTAAATCATTTCGCTTGTACTCGCTATTAAGAGTGGTGCAGTGATGAGTTTCGGTTACTCGCTCCAAACACCGTCCAGTTTCGTCCATGTTCTAACTATTTAGATATATGTGGTCATAGCCGGCGACTGATGAGGTAATGCTTACTAGGCTAGTGCTCACGAAGAGTAACGCTTGACACAGAAATTTCATGTTTGAGTTTTGAATTACCAGCCGTAGGTTACGACACGCAACCTTTGTTGGGATCACGGCTTATCTTAAAATAGTGAACCTCCGTTATTCCAGTCACTGGTGGTGAAGATCTTTGACGTTGTTCCCGCTTCCTATTGATTGCGTAAGTGAGCGGCTGGCATAAGTACAACGAAGCGATGGGTTTCGGCGTTCCTTCTCCCGACACCGACACCCTATGACCACCGGTTTTAGGCTCATTCGAACTCATCGGGTAGAGATATCCTGAGTTGGGAGTGGAACTCAAAGGGATAGTTGACACTGTTTGTGACTGCGAAACTAGTCCTAACGGCATCAGTTCATACTGTCCGATTATTTCATGTCCTCATGCACTTTCTCCTCCCATCAGCTGGATTCTCGGATCATTTTGAACCGTGGCTTCATAAGTAAGCGATTGAAGTTGAAGGTGAATTTGAGCTCCCAAAGCAAAGAGACCACACAGGTGAGCATTCATCATCGCTGAGACCACACATCAGCCTCTTTTATTACATATTATTCATGTGTATCTCATGATTGACAAGAGTGATCAGTGCAGAGTGATTCAGTGCGAAGGGAGCCTAGAGAGACTCCGCCTCGAATCATCGTTTTGCCCGGTTCCAGACGTCGGGCTGGGTTGTGGCCGACGAGGAATTCCTGAAAGTCGACCGGTGTTAACGTAAGAGTATGGTGAATTCTACCAAAAGATCGATACACTAGACATTTCGAAACATTGGTGGCTCCGGTTGGCATCCATATAGTCGCCGAGCTTGGCAATTGTGTTCCAACGTTTCATCGCATCGATGTAGATGTAGTATACCAAACGCTTCGCGGCACAATAGCCGAGGCATTTGTCGCCTTCAGCCAAAGTGTGTTATGATAACACCGAGCGTTCAGATGAGAGAAATTAAGCGATTCGAAAGCCGTTTTGCGCAGCCAATTAAACTGACGGCACGTTGACGAACGGGACCGACAGTTCATTGGAGGACTCAAATGGCTAACGGATCAGGATGGCTTGCGGTTATTAACAGCGGAAGGCCTGCTTTCACAAGAGGCTTTTGCTACATGCTGATGATGTAGCCTTGATTGGCGATTGAGACGTGTTCAATCTGATTTCCATGTTCGAAAAGCATATGAATACCCTAACTTTAGACATGTATCCATCCCATTGGACAATGGCATCGATGAGGTTCACTTCGAAGTAAATCGCAATCCATATTGTGATTGCGTATCGCTATCCGTTCACACACACCGAGTGATACAATATAACCTACAATTGCCTATATCACTTTCCTCGCAATAAGAAATCGCCCGGGCTGACTTATAGTATCATAAAATAACTGGAAGGGGAAATTGTAGCTCCGAGAGACAAACTTGCAGGTGATGGGCCCCGCCATATCGCGACTCGCCGTTGTCACCCATTGCTCGGTGGTTCAAATCACCCTCTCCTAAGGGGAAGGTAATCATGGGTTTGTACCTTGTGGGGTTTTAGGGAAACGTGTTCTGCTAATGAGCTCAATTCAGACAAAATGGCTCCTCCAATAATTTTCCTGGTATGTGTATTAATGACATGGTTAGGCATGGCCATCTACGATCTCATGACACTATTTTGGTTTTTCTATCGATGTACGTTTATGCTGGATAAGAATGTACAAAATGGCGAAGTCGTCTCACAAATTACGTCTTCTGATTTTCATATTTGAAGTAAAGATGTTTGGATCGGATAAGCGACTGCTTCAGTTGGACCGTGATGGCGCTCACCGTACACTACTGACGAAATAAAAAAAACAGATAAGTGTTAAGCGTTTCTCGTTCGCAACACCTCCCCCTTATTCCTAAGCCATCGAATCGCGGGTAACAGTTATCACATCGATTAACGACTCGTTAGGAGTGCATCTGAAGTACCCGTTGTATGTGGATTGCGACACGCAGTTTCCTTCTCAGTTAGGTCAGGGAAGTAGTTTATTATGCGCAACGGAGGTGGTAGGTCTGATGTAAGTCGCCCCCCACTTGCCCGAGCCCAAATTTTCCACAAATCCGACACCACCACAGGTCAATTGGGCTGAGGGCCACCGGACCATCTTGTCGATTTAATCTCCCAACATTGTGGGGCTATATTGGTGCTATATTACCACCAAGATGGATTGTGTTTCAATTGCGTCTGATGACGAATTAATGTCTCCGTCAATCTTTACTTGCAGGCGGACGCCGAACAGATGGATCGACAAGTGAACGAGGATCGGCGCTATTTCATCCAAGCCGCTATAGTACGTATCATGAAGACAAGGAAACAGATCGACCACACAAGTCTCATCAAATCGGTGCTCCAACAGGCTGGCAGTAGATTCCAGCCGTCTGTACCTTTGATCAAACGCTGCGTGGAAAGTCTCATAGAGAAGGGTTACATTGAACGCAGTCCCGACGATGCGGACCAATACAGCTATCTTGCCTGAATTGGCATACCCTAAATTTTCAGTCTTGTAAATATCTCATTTTCATTGATATGTCAGAATGAACAACGTGCAGAATATCAGCAGTTTGGTAAATATATGTGCTTTATTAACATGGACACGTGTTTCCACTAGGGGTGCTAAAGAGCACCCGTCTTTCCCAGCTGCTCTTTGAGAATTAGAATGCTCCGCCGCTGATCGTCGGGTAGCATGGCCAACTGCTCGTCTGAAAGTTGCAGGACCTGCATAATCAGAGTGACTTTCTCTTGCTCTCCTTGTCCAGCAAGCACACTGTTCGGCCCCATATTGGCAGCAGCAGCAGCGGCCACCGCTGGCGTGATTTGTTGCTGTAGGAGGTAAGGAAAATAACAGGTGGAGTTGTGAGGTGGAAACATGATTATACGTAATAGTATGTTTTAATCGTAAATAAATCAGAAATGTGTGTGTTGTATATAGGCGCGCTGTATGAGGGCGCCATTCTCACGAACATATTCCATCGATCGTTTGAGCTGAACTCCAGACTCCGGAGTCAGTTTGCTGCAAGCTTAACAACAGTTTATTAAGTCGGCGATGTCACAACACTTGGACGCTACATTTCAACTTTGGATGAGATGCGGTTAAAGTCGAGTGTGACTGAGAATGCCTGGGGGCTCAACGTGAAGTCGCTACGGTGAATCCAGGGGAACATGGTCAAGTTCGAAAAGTCTATGCCTGGCAAACAACCACCCGCAGGAACCGGATGATCAGTGCAGACAGTTGTGAAGACAACCGACGAGATGGGCAGATCAACTACAAATCCTCTGCAACTCCAGTGGTTTTCCGACGTCCCGTCATACCCAACCTCCTTGAATAGACCAGTCTGTCCGACCCAATCCCATTTGTAACGACCCCTATCAAAACAACGAAAACCTACTACAACCTTACGACCGTTAGTCGAATTTAGTTTCGCAAGACGGGTGGTCGCTCAGCGGCAGAAGTCGTGGCTCTGGGGGGGGGGGGTCCTCTGCAATTCATAACATGCAAGGAAGTGCAAAATGAGTAACGCCATATTGCAGTTAGTAGTCAAACAATGAGAGCCGTCGTCTAACATGTGGCCTAATGGCTTAAGCCGTCGATTCGTAGAACTCACTGGTTCGAATCCACTAGAATTCGCGGGTGTGCTTGAAGGGTCCTGACAGGACAAAGGGGCTTTTTCGAATGTGTGGTGACTACGGATCTCCTCAAAATACCACCCATACAAATCATTTTACTCTATTCCGGAATGCTTTATGCGGAATTTTCAAAAATATTTCCATCTACTTTGCGGGAGCCGTGTGCGTTCACCGCTTTAATCTTGAGTTATGCGCACCCTTTTCAAGGTGTTACGCGACCGCAGTTGACGAAAGCAATACCGACTTGGAGTATACTGACGATATTTATCGCATTTCCGTAACCACTAATGAAAGTAACAGGGATTCAAATTGAGTGTCAGGCATGAGCATCGGAAGTCGCTATATACAAGCCGATTTCATGGGAAAATTGAATCCATATGCAATTGTATGGAACTGTGAGGAAGGGTAGCTCTAAGGAATGTTGCCCGTCTTATAGAGATTTTCCACGATCCTGCAGAACGATTGATCAGACCCGGGTAGGGTTCTCTCATTAAGTGGTACTAAGTTTTGCTTCTGGATACGCTGAGACACACTCCCACCAGACTGGTCAATATCTAGAAATCCAACAATATCAGTCCTTGGTCACCCTGATTAGGTGTGAAAAACGGAGTGGAATCTGTCTGTGCAAAGACGGACCATCATCCTATTCCCGTTGTATTGCGGTCCAGTTTTGAGTATTGATGGAGGACCCGCCTAAGTAGGGATATTTGTTTACATACAATTGCGACTTTCCTCATACTTCAGCTTCACTGGGAATCGGCCATCGCACGGTTTCAGGTCCCACGTATAAGCGAAAACATGCTACAGCTGATACTTCTAACATCTCATACTATTTTCAACATTCCTTCAGTAACCTCAGCGTAAATGACGGCTATTTCAACGTGACGGAAGTTTTGTCAGCTACATCCTTGTTACCATAGAATCCAGTAGCCCTATCGTATTGCCAGGTGACACTACCGGGGTGACGGCGGTCAGCGCTCGTACTACAAAACACTATGAGAAGCTTCATTTTTAAGTGAACTAGTTACTCTAGGTGTGGTGGTTATCGCACATACCCGGAGATATGTTGATGCAGCAAAACAGGTTAGGCTGAAGTGAACGTCGTTCTCAGCTTCAAGGCTTAATACTTGCTGGTCGATTGGATTTCCGTGAAAAGCCAGCTGTGTGTAATCCCTTGAACAGCATCATCTATGACTAGCAGATGGTGTGGCGCTGGATGTTGCTTGCTCTTGGGTGGAGGCACATGTTCCCATTGTGGTCGACCAGACACCGCGATTGTTGAGGCACCAGGGGTGGCATGCGCAGCGGCACCCGCACACGTGTCTGGTGTGAAATCGGACGGGACGCACGGCCGAATTGGAGTCCACCTGTGCATTTTCAAAATGCAAAATTGGAAGCAGTGTGCGTGCAAGGCGCACACACAAGAGACAGACTGGGGGTGCGCAGAATCTGAATATATGCTCAAGTCACCCCTTTAATTCCACAAGAGTGAGCTCATTTCTTAGTGTGCGGTTCTGAAGCATCAGCGAACAGTGTTGTGCTGCTGGTGACAATAATAAAGTTTGGGCGGTAGTTCGCGTCCCATGATGAAGCACCGACTAAGAGTTTCCAGCACTCGAGATGGAAACATCGGCCTCCAGAGTCGCCAGACATAGTGCGCGCACATCATGCTGCGATAGGCATCGAGCATGCGTCAGCACGCACGCACCGGCACAAATGCAGTGATGAGATATCAATCGTGTCACACCGGGCGTACTAGGAGGAGCATTAAACGACTGCTGCATAGTCCCAAATGGATATTGAGAATACACCGAATCCAGAGTTAGATGAGGGTAACTCCGTGCGACTATTCAGCACATTCAACGAAACCATGTATCTTGTAGTGGCGAGGAATGCGCCTAGTCAGTGAGATTACTGTTAGTCCTTGAACATTCCTCGGAACCGTTAGAAAGCATCGACCGGAGTCACATTAAGCTTGAGAGTCTAGATGGGTCTTGGCGGTGGCGTAGAGAACCCTATTCGTACACTGGTGCACAAAATTGGTTCCTTTCTTTGACACTCGGAGTGAGACAAGCCTGATGATTTCAATACAGCAGAGCCCTTCGGTGACGTGTGCTGAACTAGGATGTGGTAATTGCTTTCAGAACTGACAGCTCTTATTTTACCCTCGTCAACCGATATAGAAAACGAACAGGGGGAGACAATGTGAGAAAGAATTGTGTTAAAAGCGTACCGATGAGGCGCCTACCTGAGAAACGGGTGGTGGGCGAGGAGGTCTAGCAGTCTGAGGTGACAGATGCAGAGGGCCATTGGGGTGAAATCCCATTTGTGGATTCGGCATCACGGGTCTTTGCGGAGGAGGCATGTTCCCTTGGTAATCATACGATAGTGGTGGGGGCTGTTGCTGAGGTGGCATGTTGGGCGGGAACGATCCGGTGGGAGCCATCGTGTTTCCTGGATAGAACTGCGGCATTCCTGAAAAATGGGAAATACCAGTGTATGATATGATTTCTTGCACGGCAAGAGAGTGCGATAAGCGGTGATTAATAGATGTGTCACTTTAGTCCTAACTTCATTCTGAGGGGTGCAAGAGTGACGAACCACTCTCTGAAGCGCCCGACTAGCTAGTACCCCGGTACCCCAACCTCATTTGAGTGCTCGTCTACGATATATCCAGAGCTACTGAGTAAAACTATACTTTCTGCACAAATTCAATAAATCTGCTTCGAGCATTGCAATTCGGTGGATCCAATTATCGAGCACCAATTCACCAAGATAATGCAGTGTATTCGAGACGTGAATCACGAGGGAGAGAAATGGATAGGAGTTTACATGGGTACCCAACCAGGAAGCCATGTTTGGCCCTCGAAACGTTATGGAGTTCAACTTGCTAGGGAAATCGATTCGGTTGATCCTCTACGCTCATCGGGCCAAAATGCGGTGGTTCTAGTTGCTCTGTCGTGGGACTATCGGATGAAAATATCACCATAAGTGGCTGGCGGCATCTGGTTTCGGATTTACCTGTCACTGTGGCCAGCCACAGGACGCCTGCGCTTACAGAGGGACCATGGGTGGCTTGCGCTGCACCACCCACAGCTCCAACCACACCCCATATCCAGTGTAAACCCGAAGAAATAAGGCCGGGAGGCATGTGGATGGAAGCCAGGTTTCATCAACGGAGCCGGCCCACACTCATTTACAGGCAAACACAAGCACACTGTATTTGGGGAATCAAGCGCACACAACGCGGTGGCTGGACCGTAGCCCGCTCCACACTGGATGGAACCACTCTCCGAGCATAGCACGGCTACAAGGACCGTGCACCCCGTCCCCTCCGGCAACGATCAACTGTCTCCTGGAGCCAGTATGAACGAGGTAGTGGGTAATAGACAGGTAGGCACCTTGTCAACATGCACATCAAGCGCAGCCACACCGGGTATATCAAGAAACAGCAAATCACTTGAAACGACAAGATGAAATAAAATAAACCGAATAATGCATACAGATACGGTAGCATAACTCTTCGCTAAATTACCAATTGAAGTAAGTTAGTTAGTAACGAATCCGCGATAAGTAAAAAATGTCCACCAGTTACTTAAAAATGCCACAAACGCAACAAAGTTACCGAAGCTAAGCGCAATCAGCGTAAGCAACGTGACCACTTAGTAGAAGATTATTCAGGTAGGCAGGACAAACCAAATAAAGTGGAATGAAATTTATCCAGCTTAGAAAGACCTAGTTTAAGTGTAAGTTGGTTTAGCCCAACTGCAGTGAAGAAGCATCAAGAATGCAACATCAGCCTCAGAATGGGGCACACCATAAGTGATATACGATCCAACACAGAGGTACTCCTTGACCTGAAAGCAGCTTTGGGTTTAGGCGGTCGCAGTTGCTTTCTGGGATGAGCTGCTTCGATGGGTGTGCTCGAGAAGGTTCTACTCCAAAATCTCGACACTTTGGGAATTTAAAACAGTTAGTCCCCTTCAGTAGTTTGAACAACGAAATGAGAAGACGAATATTGGCAGATGCTAGTATTTCGTATTATCTCATCAGTACCAATACAATAACAGGGAAATCCTTTTATATGTCTTACAGGGCACAGTCAAGCCAATCAAATTTATGGTTGTGGTCATTGTTGATGGGATTAGGTCCACGGCAACCGCAGGTTGACAACAAATTGCTTTTGGACACACAAAGCTGGTCTAATTCGGCTTATCGCGACGGCCTCGGAAAATCGTAAAAGGCGTGCATTGGTATGACGTAACAAGATCCGGAACGCTGATAAGGGAATTGGGAATTGTCATCCGATTTTACTACGGCAGGTGGAGTGCATCTTGATCGAAACGATTATTCCGTTACGTTTGCTTCCACTTCTTCTGAGACACAGGCTTTGTTAGTCGACGCAATTTCTCATTAAGTTGGATCCAGATGCTATAGAAACGTCGTGTGCAAAGTCTCGTACTTTGCACTTTGAAAGTGCAACGGGCACTTTTGCAGCAGTGGACCGGTCAGTAGTCATTGTTCCTCCTGGTCAACCTGTTTACCCATCTCGGTAACAGTAACGCCTATTGTGATCTCATCGCCGAAGAGGCAACCGCAACCGGCGCATCCCAAAACTCCGTCAGCCAAGCTGACGACGGGATGTCAGAGCTTAGTGGTTGATGGAGTCGGTTGGTAAAAACGCAACGCGGTAAGTGTAGCTTTACAGATCACTTAACTGACCATTTGGACTGTTTATAATTGGTAATACACACAAACTATTGCTCATGACTGATGGGAGAACCGAATGCTAAATACTGTAACTTGTAACCTAGTGTCTAACTACAGACTAGCGTCTGTTGCAGTGCTGAAGTGCTTGTTGAAATTAAATTACCCACACTGGCCAAGTCATCTGTTCCGAATACCTGAAACTGGGATTTATCTGCGTGTGCTGTCTATCAATATTGCACTTAACTGGATGATATTCCAAGATGACTGATCCACGACTTAGCAAAAGGGCATGAAGGAACTGCTGGAAAAGTTAAATGGGGGTTGAGGACAGAAGCACCGTTGGCAATGCCATAGTCACGATGTTAGTGATACTCGTGCCGTTTCGTCTGGTAGCACGGAACGGAAACTAACCGGGAATTCTTTGCAGCCGCCAGACTATCATGCGTTCAAAAGAGCATCAGACGGTCGTTACATCCTATCGGGGGACTCATCAACGGTACGCATGCATCGTCTTCATTGGGAACTGAGCCCAGCCTCCTCCCAATCGGAGGTTAGCGGCCTAAGCCACCAGTGGCGGCGGCAGATGGTCATGACTTACAAGCAGAGTACAATATAGCGTGACTCATCTTCCACAGCCGCATAGGGCACATCAGGACACACGGGTGACCAACGGACTTGGAATCTGCTGCGAAGAAATCTCAATTCGATATACGAGAGGCGCCCATACACACTGCGTAACCGGATTCGTACTCAGCTGGACTCTGAATTGTCAGTAGGCGACTCTCACTACCACACGCTTGAAACAAAGGTTGGGAACTCATTGTTGGCTCATTTGGAACACTCAATGAGTGACATACGATCTCGATTTGGATCGGTCGTCCTAGCTGAAGTCTAAGCAAGTGCGAAACTAACAGCAGATCAGCGAGCATCGAACTGTCTCAGATACAATCCCAGTGCCCGAACTGACCAAGTTCGAAGTAAGTTGAAACCTAAACTGAAAGTGGGTGCCACAATTCATTCACACAACGGGTACTCCGAAGAACCAAACAACAAATACCGAACTGTTGCGCTTGTGGCCGTTTAAGTAAGTGGGCCGCAATCGACAAACACATCTGGATGCACTACGGAAAACATTGTAAATGCGCAGTTGCTTACATAACTGGTGCTCAGCAACATACTCGTTCGTGAGATAAAAGAGCTATTTCCTTGTCACGAACCGTCAGCAACGCGAAAAATAGCGCGGAAGTTAGTGACAACCGCGAACACATACGGCAACTAGTACTGAATTAGGATGAGACAAATAAGTTGTGAAACAGCGTAGCCAAGGAAGCAAACAGGCAAAACTGTGTGTTTGACTCATATGGTAGCACAGAAAGGAGGAAAATTCGAAACCAGTTTGAAGTGTTATCAGAACAAGTGAGGCGACACCTGGTGCGTGTTGATCAACAGAGTACGGTCCAGATTGCGCCGCAGGACCACCAACAGACATGGAGACTGAACCTGTGTGGGAGGGATAATTGGCCGGCGAGATTCCATGCACAGGCGCCGACACTGCGTGGGGTGGCATCTGTGGTGCCATCTGGGAATTCATTGGTGCGGGTGCAGTGGCAACTGAAGGAGAAACAGTGAGAATTTGTTTAGGCCGCATATCGTCGTCCTCTGGCATCGCGGGAGGGATCTGATCATGGCTTCTGTTCAACATTGCAATGGCAACTTTTGGATCCACTATCTTCATGACAATTTGAGCCTGTAAGAAAGAGCAGCAGTCTCTGGGCAAAATGACGGCTAAAAGTATATAGAAGCTAACAGATGAAGGAAATAAATACTATTCGCACTGCACCAGTAATTTATAATGAAGTTTTGCCACTGAGTGACCACAAGCAGTTGTGTACGCAGGCTGGGATATTACTACAGGGGCAACCAAACGCACACAGGATGGAGGAATCAGATCCAAGGTAGAGACAGCGAGCCAGACACATGAACCAATACACAAAATGATCAGACAGCTAGTGTGGATGTTGCTCTGAACCCACGGTCTGAAGGTGATCTGAACGCTAGATTTGGGAGATTGTCCACTAATGAGCTGCAGATGATGAGATGAGAAAATGAGATCACGAACCGTATAGCAAAAGCTCGAAGTGCTTTTGCTGGTCTTCGCCCTTTATGGCGACGGCGCGACATTACTCTCGCCCTGAAATGTAGAGTGCACAATGCGGCGGTGCGTTCGACCTTACTGTACGGCTGCGAAACCTGGCCCCTTAGATCAACGGATATAAAGAGGCTAGTTACGTTCCACCACCGGTGCCTTCGCAATTTAGCACACATCTGGTGGGAACACCGAGTAAGCAACGAACGTGTTCGAAGTCTTGTTTATTGCACAGGAAAAGGAAATGAACCGCTCAGCACCGTTATTTCACGCACCAGACTCCGGTGGCTCGGCCATGTGTTACGCATGCCCGCCCACCGACTCCCGCGACGTGCGTCGTATGCACACTGGGGTGTGGATGGAAGAAGAGGAAATATATAATGAAATGTGTCAGCTTATACGCCGTAACGGCGCTTCGCTGCCGCGCGACCACCACCAGTCGCGCGCGGGCTGAGTATACCGCGAGGACGCCCACCCCTACGCGGATTCGAACCGGTGACCTTATGGTTGGAAAGCAAACGTGCCAACCACTCGGCCACCGGCAGATGGAAGAAGAGGGGTGGTCAGGCGATGACTTGGTCAAGAGGAATGAAGGCTCGCATTTCGAAGCTGGCCTCGGTTGGAGCGTCTCGCCTACCTGGTTGGGGTCCGAAAGACGATGAACACGTTTGGCTGTATACACTTGCTGATATGGCTAGGAGCCGATCTTAGTGGCGTCCGTGCTGAGTTTCTGTCCCACCCCATCCCTCTTAGCCTCCCCCTCCAACCACGATCTCACTATCTAACCATATATAATTTTGCACGATAATTTTTTGCTTCATAGTAGCCTGCTGGTAGCTTACCGGAACGACGCCTATCCGGTACCGGTAGTTCAGCTTGCTTGCACCTGTTGCATTTCCCCATTTTTCTTTTATATGCTGCGTCACAGTAGCTAGTGTTTTACACCTCTAGCTAACGTGTATATTGATGATAATGAATGTTTATTGACCAAAGCATCTGGACGACCAAAACGATGTAGGTTCTAAAATGATAACGGCGAGCGGTTGTTACATTTGTGTGATAATGCTCGTTTCTTTTTTGCGAGCACAAATTCCGACACAGCATTAGCCGCCGGGTAACGTAACGCCTACCAGCCTCGGATCAGTTATCTGCGTAAAGTGGATCAGTTACTGCTGGAAAAGTTGCGTCCAAAACTCTGTCGCTCGAGCGTGGTCTCCGACGTTGTACTAGTATGTGACTGCGGCTGCGTGTCGGCGAACACACACAACAGCGTTGTGAGTGCATAAATACCAACTTTCGTAGCCACATGTGCTTACCACAGTCCGAGCTTGGTAAGCACTCACTGAACGCAGACTAAAATCACTGGTAGCATACCTACCAGAGGTTGCTAGAAGCAAGCATGTCTTCAGATAGCATATCAAATTGCCAGTTTGGGACACCTGGATGCTCGGTGAACCTTTGCGGCTGGGAACGAACACGAAACTTGAAAAACCCCGACTCAACACTGCATGCTATCCTGAAACCAAATCGTGAAACCTGGGTCTAGTTACCGTAGAATATTATTACGTCTGATACGACAAACTGGTAGCAGGACATCTGGTGTAGGCGAAACTGTATACGACGAGGGTTGTCAGCCTATCCACAACTTGTTAAAATGTCTGGAATGTTGGATTGAGCGCTTCGAAAAGCGATTTAGTCGGTCGGAACAACTAGATTCGCTACCCGGCAATGGTCATCCTGCTACCTGCATCGTCCCGTTGGACGATCCCTCAGGCATAGAAGTCGAAAGAGGCATCAGACTGTTGTCATTAAATAAAATTGCAGAACCGTAGACTTCCTGCGAATTCCTCGGACCAGCTATCTTGGACGATGTCACGATATACTAGTGAAACCTTGGGAGCAGGAAATTCCTCCAACTGGTTGGAGCTGCTCCTTTATAGTACATATGATTAACACTAGAACGCCCGAAACAGTCATTTTGACCGCTCAGCATTGTTATGTGCGCATGGATCAAGCTGATTATTCTATGACTGCCGCATTCTGAACGAGCCTCCTTTGAAAGTCGGGAGTATGGCGCAGCACCAGTCTGCTGGGACAGTCTCTTATTCCCACATCTTCACTAGTAAGTTGCGCAAGTTGTCCACAACAGCAGACCCCCTGATTTTGAAGAGAGTTGGAGGATGTCTATCTGCTCCAGCAGACTTATTCAATTTCGACAGTGGGATGTGATACATTCATGTCTGGTGGGAGCACCGAGTGAGCAATGAATGTGTTCGGCGTCGTGTATTTGGGGCAGAAAGAGCGAGTGAACCACTCAGCACCATTATATTAAGCACCAGACTCCGATGGCTGGGCCACGCATTGTGCATGCCAACACACCAACTCTCGCGTCGTGCGTAGTTTGTGAATAGAAGAGGAGGGGAAGCCAAGCGAAGACTTAGTCGAGAGGAATGAAAACCCTTAGTTCGAAGTTGGCGCCGGTTGATGCATACCTACTGCCGGGCTGGTATCCGTAGGTCGATGAAAACGTTTGGTTAGATACACTTGCTGATATGGCGAAGACCTGGCTCTAACACCGTTTATGTTGTTTCTTTGTCCACCCCCCTCCCTTTTCGATTCCACCTCCAATTACGATCTCGTACCAACTGTATAAGATGATATTTAACGTCATATCAATTGCTTTTTGAAGTTTTTATTCAGCAATTTTGTTGTCATCTTTTAGTATTGCGGCACATTAGCTGGTGTTTCACACCCTCAACTAATGTGGATTGATGATGATGTGATATATACGTGGGATGAATGAAAAGTCTCGAGTCTGGCACAGAAACCAGTTAGCCAAGCAAGCAAAATTTGCTACTCCTCCTCCTTTACTTTAATTTCACTAGATTTCCTTATTGAACTGGGTCTACGGTTAGGTGGAAATGGAGGAATTGGAGCATCATGGTGATCAAATATCTTTTTACCTCAAAGGAATGTCACCATCCGTAATTCACCACGGTATGCACAATACATGACAAGCCCCTTAATATGCCACAGTCAAACGTTGGTTGTAAAAATCCAATTGCGGCAGAAAGAGTACTGAAAATGGGCCAAAGTCGGGGGGACCACCAACAGCTACCAACAAATAAAAATCTTGACCTAGAAGTGGATATTATGCAAAATCGCCGACTAACAGCTCGTCAGACAGCAGAGGGGTTGGGCATCCAGGAGCGAGATAATATTCTGACGATGGAGTTAGGATACACAAAAGTTTTTGCTCGATAGGTGCCAAGTCTTCTGACTTCTGAGCAGTAGCGTATTCGACATGTCAGAGCACAGTATGAAACTGAGGCAGATATCGATTTTTTGCAGGATCCTTCACTATGGATGAGTGCTGCGATCACCACGTTTAACCATAAAGAAAATAACAATTAAAGCAATAGAGGCGTGTATGATGTCATACGCTAGAGAAAGCAAAGGTTACGTCATCAGCTAACAAAGTGGCGGCATCTGTACTTGAAATTCCCGAGGTGTGTTGATGATTTATTTTTTGTAGGTCATACCATCGTCGGAAAGTATTAGTGTTAGCATCTGAAACATAGACAAACATTCGAGAAGAAACCAGGAATGCTGATGAGAAGAGCTATTTTCCACAGTGATAACGTTCTAGCACACATCTCTTCCAATACGCCGGCCCGTAGCCATAAGGAACACAAGCATGTCTTGTAATGTGAGGCCGCGGGACCGAGCCCGTGTAGGGACCGGGAGACCATCGCAGTATCTTTAGCCCACGCGCGACCGGTGTTGATTGCGCGGCAGCGAAGCGTCGGTATTGCGTACCGGCGTACTGCTGATGTTTTTCATCCAATGTTCAGAAAACGATCCATGATTGCGGCCTAAAACTTCTTCCGCACCTACCCTATTCATCAGATCTGGCTCCCTCTGACTTCCAGTTATTTCCAAACTTCTAAAGACCTTTTGCTGGCAGACATTTTCTCAACGACAGTGACGTTATTGAAGCCGTAGTAGCGGCTTTAGCCACAGATTGCGGAGTTCTTTTTCACTGGGATATAGACGCTCTAGCACCGCTGGAGCAAGTGCGTTGCGCTTGTGGGTGATTATGTTGAAAAAAAGCATAGAAATATCTTTATCCTATCTAGTTCTTTTGAGGCTCGAAACTTTTCATTTACCCTACCTACTCAGGTGCACCTAGTAAAGTAGCACACAAGGTCGGGAGTGCCCAGCCGATCTGGTAAGTCAACGACGTAGCCAAAAGGGACAATATGCAACACGCGACTGGCGAATTATGGTGCGTAAGTATCAACGGGACAATGATACGCAACTTTTGCATACACTTGCCAAGGACACCAATGGGACCAATCTGACAAATGTATTACACCGTCGTTTCCACTGGACTGTACAAGTACCTGTTTGTGCTGCCATATGCCCGACAGCGTTTGCTGACTGATATTCAAGATTTGGTTGAACTTGATGCGAATGTTGACATGGTGTTTGCAGACCAAACACCGTCACCTCAAAGAGGCTCAAGGGAAATATTAGTCGTTGCTGAGGGAGAGCGGGTGCACAGTTTTCATGTCGACGGTAGGCTCAAAACTTGGTTC